AATTTCCGAGCCACAGTGCAAATAAATTCTGAAAGTGATTGTTTATTTGTGCCTCGCTCTTTGTGTAACAACACTCCGAAGACCTGGTCTACTCTAAGCGGTGATGTCACCTTGGACAATAAGCGGCAGGTAAATCATTTTCCGGACAATCCGCGACCCAAAAAGCCCCGGGATAGAAGCCTGCATTGGAGGCGTTCTTTTTTCCACAACCGGAAATTCTTTTGATGTCTGAGTTGCAATTGGTTGGTTATGGGGGAGCATCGCGAGACATTTGTTCGACTCACAGCTCTTTGAAGTGGTCCCCCTTTTACGGGGGGATTTGGGGGGGGGGGGGCTGTGGTGGAACAAGTAGTAGTCACACGCTACACATTTGTAGGCTCGGCATTTACAGCCTAGGCTTCTGGCTCTTCGTTCGACTTCGCCGTACTGTCCATTTTGGCCGTTTGAATTGGTTCCTGGTTTGCCCAAAATTCTTATTTTAAGTATTGTCTTTTTTAAGCATGATAATCGCGCATATTTTTTTTCTAGAGAAAACACAAACATTTGTGTTTAAGTCTGATGTGATCCAAAGAAGTCGGATGTAAAACACGAAAGCTTTAAATCAGCAAGACTTTCAGAAAAAAATCAAAACAAAATTTGCTATTTTACACAAAAAATAGCTATAAAACGTTTGTTAAAGAGGTATGATTGCCAGACACCATCCCCTGAAAAGGGAAAAAAAGGCGGCAACAAGGATTTATAATTCGGCATTTGCGTTAAGAACAAAAACTATCTGTTTGCGCGCATTGATAACTTTACCGATAAAATTTATATGATCATTCATTAATTCGCAACAGAGGTTCTGCTCGAACAGCTCTGAGCAGATCGTACAAACTGTCTTATTCTATTCATGTTAACCTCGATTTTGACCGCGTGTCTGTTTTCTGTTTTCCCTGCGTTGTCCAGCTGTCGTGTTAGTATCCTTCGAGTGTTTAATCTCTTCTTTCCACTTCTCTCTCTCAATTTCAGCTGCCATGTCTTTGTCTCTGACAATCCCTTTCAGCCTAAGTAGTTCGCAACAAAAATCAATTAATCTCAGTTTTCGAAAAAAAGCCCTTCCCTAATCTGTAATGTTTAGCGGTCTATAAAATGATCTAGAGGCATAAAACTTCCAACGATTATTGATAGCGGCCTAAAGCGCCTAAAAAGTTTCAGAAACAAAAATTATGAAAAGTCTTACATACATTTTCGTATAATTTTGAAACAATTTCCGAATCTGATTTCCAAACATTTTAAAATAATAAGCCTGAAGCATGCAGCGCTAAACAAAAAGTTAAGTTGGTATACACTAAAAAAAATTAAATGAGTTTGTATGAAGTTTTGCTAATGTTCGAATACATGGCAGTCAAAACAAACCCTAGCAATGATTGCATCATAGCAAGCCAGCCTGCTCGTATATCAGGTCAAAACTTTGAAGGTTCCGACTGCACTGAAAAATTGATTGAAACATTAAAAATATCCCCTTTTTCTTCAATATTTCTCTATACAGACTTTCTAAAGTACTAGTAGTTGTTTTAAGCGCCTCATATTTTATTTTAAAAATCAAATCATTTGCCTCAATTTAGTTTTAAACGATTTACTTTGCGGTTTACCAGTGCTATTAGAACGCATTAGCTCATAATTTAACAAAAAATATACCACATTTATTTTTTTTGAGCTGCGGACAAAAAAAAATTTCGGACTATTTACACTTTTTTTTTCGAAAACGCTTAGTTAAAAATTCGAAAGTTGACTGCATTACAAAAAATATATCACAAGCATAAATATTCAAAAGATTGTCTGAAGTTCGAAATAATAAGCTGCAAGTCTGACATCCGTCAAATCTATTGCGCCATTCTATTGAGAAATTGAGAAGCATGTTTCAGCTGGTATTTATTGTTAAATTTAGTTACTCAAATTGAATTTAAAAAGGGTACTATACTGATAAAAAAAACAATTAATAGTTTCTGTATTTCATGAGGAATTTTTAGTTTTATAGGGCCGTTGGAGATAATAATGGCAACACTTTCAGAGCCTTGAAAAAGTTGTAAGCATTGGTTTATTGATAGATATAAAATGTTTGTTATAGCCTTCTTGCCCTAAAATTCCACAAAGGGCTGCGCCGGCGGCTGTGCTAGTGGAACAGCCGCCGGCAACAAACTAAAACTAAGCATATTTGTAAACTATGCATATTATACTACAGTTGTCCTCAACGAACAGAAAAACAAAACATGAAAATGAAAAAGTTTTTCGCTAATTCTCAAAAAAATGTTCAAAATGTTCAAAACTTCAAAATTAAAACACTTTTACAGAAAAAACTTCTCCCTGATATCGGCGGTTGGATAACTAAAAAATTTTACCCGTGCCATTGGGAACAGCAAAAAAAAGTTTTTCATTTTCAAAATAGAAAAAAAAGCGATGAAAAGCCTCTCCTAAATTGGTTAGATTACACGCAGGTTGAATTGAAAAAAAAAACGCGTGTTTTTCCAATAAGTCAAGGCCCGAAATAGGAAGAGGGTTCTTGGCTGTTTGCAATTTGAAACTACTCATGATGTGATCAGATCATTCATCTCATGATCAGATATTTCTAAAAATCATACCAATCTACACGTACACGAATTAATGATACAGTTGAATTCGGTTGGAGGACACCCAAATCATTTAAATCACTTCAAATACTTGGTTTCAAATAAATCAAAATAAAAAGATAAAATCTGAGAGGAGTACTATATGCGTCAGTAAGTTGGGGGTGCCAGTAGAGCCTCCATGGTAATAAGAGAGAAAAGGAATACCTGGTCCACTGGCTATGTATTAACACTCATTACAAAGTATTCAATCATTGCATAAAAGTCAAAACCTATAACCTATCCTAATGCATTGAAAACCTATTCCCTATCTTAGTACATTGCAAACTCTATACCCAATGTTAACACGAAGCCAGTAGACCAGATGTTCTTTTCCTTATCTTAGTAGATGGGTGAATACTGGCATCCCCCAGCTCTCCTCACACATATACAACTGAGAAATCTTTTATTGAAATGATCTAAATCCCGTAAACTTTCGTTCAGAACCGTTACGCCGCACTGTCAGTTCACGGCTTAGACACAGCTTATAGCAGTGAAAATAAAATGAGAAAATGAAATTGTTTTGATAAAAATAAGACCCCCAAAAACAGGAAAAAAACTCACAATGTTTGAATGCGCAACCTCAAATTATTGACTATTGTACTCAACTGATAAATAACTAGAACCGAGCAAGAACTGTAAGCCTTTAACGTTTTTTAATTAGGAAACATTAATCTCTCATTTGGACTTAAAGAAAACATAAATTGAGTAACTATATAAAGAAAACGGAGAATTTTCCTTTTAAATGAAAATTCGAACCTGCTCACCACTGAGTCTGGGAGTTTGATAGAGCTACACTAGATGACAGACCATTCTGACTAGATAAAATTAAAATTTCGTCGGGATTTAAACTTGATCTGCAAGCGTCTGGGATAGAAACTTACGCTGAGTTATGAACGCAACTGAGGCAAAACTAAATTTGTTTTCCATTCAATTGCCCTATTTTGTCGTGAAAGAACTAGCTTTTCTCCGAGTGAACCCAATAGAGATTGAACTTGAGGAGCAAAATAACAATTAAAAAAACCACTATCACATTTGCTACATCGTCGTTTTTCAGGCCAATTGCACACCTTTAAAAACTTGCTGCTGTTTATTAAAATTGGACCGAACTCGCTTGCTGTGCGAGATCAGTCCAAATCATAATGGGTGCCAAAAACGCCGAGCCCTGAACTTTTGCTATTTGAACTTTTGATCTTGAAATTAGCAGCTCGCATATTTGTATATTTTTAAAGATGCATGAAAATTCGAACTAATCGAGCTAAAAAAAGCCTGACAGAAAACTAACTTTGAACTTTAAGTATACATCAAACAAAACACATGTGGCATAAAAACAAATTTGTATACAGCTTGAAAATTGGACCGACAAAAGCTGAACTGAAAAAAATTTAAAAAAGCTGATTCTGTTTTTAAAAGATACAAGACTGCTCGTATCAGGGCGAAGCCCTGAATGTTCCGACTGCCTTTTAAGGTTTTATGGAGCAGTAATAACATCAAAAAATTAAATGTAATGAAATAAAATGAAAATTTTTTTTTCTAAAATTTGAATTTTTTTAATGAAAATCATCCCCCCACACGCCATATGAAGTACAAAAAGATAGATTTAGCTCCTTGTAACAAATCAATTATGGCAAGTAAGCTTCTTTCAACCAATTTGGAACGATTTTAAGACGGATTAAATCTCCGCTTACGCGTTAATAGCGCGAAATATATCGCGCGTTAATTGTCCCAAATTGGCCAAAATGGCAATATTTAAACCCCCATAACTTTACGAAAAATAATCACAGGTAAAATATCTTTTCAAATTTAAGCTCAGGACAACAATAGCTTACGAATGATATTAAAAAAATTCCGTCAAAAATGGCTAGTTAAAAAGTCGAAATTTGTCTGAAGAAAAAAAAAACCCACCCCGAGCACAAATATTCCGTTACTTTCGAATCGAAAGTCGGAACAAAAATTCCACATGATTAGTATATACACTTGCCTTAAGAACCTTTAAAATGAAATTGTGTCAGCGGACTATATTCGGGAAGAATATCTAGCTCCTGATTACAACATTTTTTCTTACCAAAAGGCTATTAGTTTGAACGAACTGAATGAAGAGTTGACTATACGCGTATTTAACAAGTTATCGTCTCCATAAAGCACTATAAAAATTGTTCAGATTTCTTTAAGGTATTTTTCGGGATCAAGTTAACATTTTTCGGGATCAAATTAACAAATGAAAATTTCTAACGTAGAACCAAGTTAACACCCCCGGTTGAAAGTGATAGTATGTTATCACACTTGGCTACTTATAAGCATTCTAGCTAGCCATGGAAGGTTAAATTTTTGTAGTCAGTTGCTACCTACATCGAGCCATTAATTCTTTAAATTATTCTTACCGAATTTTTTATCCTTGTTAGGTAAACTCCCGTTCAGGCTGTCCATTGATCTCCCCCTCCTCATAGCCGACGATCCCACTCCGGAAGACAACCGCTGGAATATATCAGGCATGTCATCACCCCGGTGCCCAACTCTGTCTCTGTCTTCCAGTGGTGAAGTTGTCATGCTGCCATTTGGCAAACCAAGACTGGTCTTGTGGACTCTCTGACTGTTTCCAGGAGGTGGGCGACGCTTATCCGCGGGACCTTTAAAACGACACATTATCAATAAATTGTGCATTGTAGTACAAGCATCGTTAAAACTGACATTTAGTCGCACACTTCTTTGTGAAGCAGTTTTTGGACAACAAAAAACGCCAAAACCAGCATGCGGAAGCCCCAGTGATATCATTGGTCTAAAGCTAAAAACATCAAAAGAAATAAGCACACTTAAAAAAGCAGCACAAACATTCATTTTCGAGCCACAGTGCAATTAAACTCTGAAAGTGATTGTTTATTTGTGCCTCGCTCTTTGTGTAACAACACTCCCAAGACCTGGTCTACTCTGTGCGGGGATGTCACCTTGGACAATAAGCGGCAGGTATATCATTTTCCGGACAATCCGCGACCCAAAAAGCCCCGGGATAGAAGCCTGCATTGGAGGCATTCTTTTTTCCACAACCGGAAATTCTTTTGATGTTTGAGTTGCAATTGATTGGTTATGGGGGAGCATCGCGAGACATTTGTTCGACTCACAGCTCTTTGAAGTGGTCCCCCTTTTACCGGGGGATTTGGGGCGGCTGTGGTGGAACAAGTAGTAGTCACACGCTACACATTTGTAGGCTCGGCATTTACAGCCTAGGCTTCTGGCTCTTCGTTCGACTTCGCCGTACTGTCCATTTTGGCCGTTTGAATTGGTTCCTGGTTTACCCAAAATTCTTATTTTAAGTATTGTCTTTTTTAAGCATGATAATCGCGCATATTTTTTTTCTAGAGAAAACACAAACATTTGTGTTTAAGTCTGATGTGATCCGAAGAAGTCGGATGTAAAACACGAAAGCTTTAAATCAGCAAGACTTTCAGAAAAAAATCAAAACAAAATTTGCTATTTTACACAAAAAATAGCTATAAAACGTTTGTTAAAGAGGTATGATTGCCAGACACCATCCCCTGAAAAGGGAAAAAAAGGCGGCAACAAGGATTTATAATTCGGCATTTGCGTTAAGAACAAAAACTATCTGTTTGCGCGCATTGATAACTTTACCGATAAAATTTATATGATCATTCATTAATTCGCAACAGAGGTTCTGCTCGAACAGCTCTGAGCAGATCGTACAAACTGTCTTATTCTATTCATGTTAACCTCGATTTTGACCGCGTGTCTGTTTTCTGTTTTCCCTGCGTTGTCCAGCTGTCGTGTTAGTATCCTTCGAGTGTTTAATCTCTTCTTTCCACTTCTCTCTCTCAATTTCAGCTGCCATGTCTTTGTCTCTGACAATCCCTTTCAGCCTAAGTAGTTCGCAACAAAAATCAATTAATCTCAGTTTTCGAAAAAAAGCCCTTCCCTAATCTGTAATGTTTAGCGGTCTATAAAATGATCTAGAGGCATAAAACTTTCAACGATAATTGAAAAAAAAGGCCGCGACCTTAGTCGTCATTTCGATGTTCCGAGTTTTCCTGAAACTCATCCTGATATTTAAATAATTGTATTTGCAGCAGACTTTAATTTGATCACCTCGCTTTTTTTCTGGAGGGCTCAAGCTTTCAGACTTTTTACCCAAAACTGAACTGGATGTTTCAAAAATTGTCCAATTTTGGTATCTGATTCTCTTCGTTGGGAAAAAAATAATCTCCGTAACTGTAGAGTAGAGGTATTATTACCAAACAAGCAATCTTTTTAAACAGACCTCTGCTTTTAGCAGATCACTTACCTGATCACTTCAGCATTCAATCTATCCACTTCTTCTTCTAACTCAGACACCCTCCCCTCCAACTGGGAGTTCTTATCCAATAACTCGGCTTCTCGTTCTTGTGATTCCCGAATTCCGTTCTGATGTGTGTTGTCTCCGTGTCCATTGAGATCACCTCCTTGGAAATGATTTTGATTATTTGCTGTTTCCACCGACAAAACATACCTCAATTTTATGTATGCCATCAAATGAAAAGAACCCTTTTAGATACATTTTCATTGATTTAACTGCATGGCAACCGGTGATTTTGAAAGAGTTTTTGACTTCCATATCAATTTAAAGTAAAGAGTTGCTCGGAAGAAACTCAAACAAGATCAGCTTCGTATTTGATTGGAAAAAGCGTATTTGATCTATTTTGTTTATCTAAATTTCTCTTTGGACCAAAAATTAATTCATAGTAACTTGTCTTTGACCACTCCTCAGCTAAAATTCTAAAATTGTTTTCAAAAAACGATTTTCTTACCCAATAATCTATCGAGGTGATCTTCTGTGTACTTCGAACTGCGCAGCTGATCGTTGCGACTCACAGGAGCATCAATGGCATCGTCGTTAAACAGAGAACGCCGCTTCGTTTTCGGCTTCTTCTTTCTTCCCTCCGGGTCACGAGAATTGCTCCTACCATCGCCGCGAGATCCCGTCGAGAAGTCATCAACTCTAGCGTGGTGAGTATCTGAAAATGCAGCGATTTATAATGAAAGAAAGCCGATTTTGGCATAGAAGCATAAAAATCGATTGTGTTCAACTCCCGGGGTCGAGGTTGTTAATTTATGTTTCGACATTTCCGGCCAAAAATTGGCATCTTTTGATCGTCTTGACCAAGTTTTGTGTTTCGACTTTCTCAACCCTACAAAAAAGTTTTCGTCTTTGTTCGACACAGTTCAATTATGTTTTGATTTTCTCGAACAAAACTTGAGTTTAGTCTGTTATCAAGTAATTTGGCGAAAATAGAAGTTAAAAAGCCAATTTTTGTCTGGTTAAAGAAAAACTACCCAAACTCAACTGATTGGTCATTTTCGTCGACTGTGCTTGACCTGTATTTCGACTAAGCTCAAGCTATGTTTCGTGTGAAATCGACCTGTGTTTCGACTGCCCAAAAGTAATATTTCGACCTTACTTTACCTATGTTTCGAGTTTTTCGAGCAAAAAAAAAGGTGTTTCGAATCAGTGAAACAAGAAATTCCAAAATCCAAAACTAATTTTTTCAAATTGAATTTTCCATTTTGCTTTCAAGTTCTTATTAAATCTGGACTAAAAATAGTGATCTGAAAATCGATCACTGAAGATTTTTTTATAGAATATACTTTGTCTTGTCGCAGGGACTCTTAGATGTCGAAAAATTAAGGGATTTCCTCGGTCCGTGCCTAAAAGTGATTTATTGATTAAAAGCTCCGCTGAATAGACAATGTCGATAACTCTGAACCATAGAGCTAAAAGCTTTTGAATCAAGTTAAGATCCTCTCCCTAAGAGGACCAAGTTAAGATCTTACTCCCCAATATTTAATTTGGAATAATATTGCTGAATGCTGCTTGTAAAACGTCCGATTCTAATGATTGAAATTCCACTTAAGCACCATGTTTACATCCTACAACCCAATGACTTAAGGGAGGACGTTAAATAGGTCCGTTTTTTTCTGGATCTACTTTCGAATGTCGATCTATGAGCACAGTCGAATCACATGCGCACAGTCAGCTTGACCTGTTTCAGCTTTCTCGTCCGATATGTGTTCTGCTCGATTTTTCGAACTCCAACCTGTATAAATACTGTGCTCGACCAATGTTTCGATCGAAAAATATTTTTCTACAAATTGAAGCTTCGTTTTGCTTTCAATTTCTTAACAAATCTGGACTGGAACTGTTGATCTGAATATTTGAGAAAATTTCGGAAGAATTTACTTTTTCTTGCCGCAGAAACTTTAAGATCTCAGAAAATTGAAGGGTTTCCTCAGAAACTATTGATTTTGCAATGAATAAATCTCTGCAAAAGTTTTTTGCTGATTGCAGCTTTCTGATGGGTATCTTTTCTGAGCAGACTTTTTTTATTGCTGTTTCCAATTTATAATTAGACAAAACCTTCAAAAAAACTATTTTCGAAAATCTTATTTTCTTGACCTATGTTTTGCCTTCTTCGTTGTGAATTCTTCTGCATACGTTTACCTTCGTCTTCGGAGGAGAAATAGACAAATTCAATTGAGCAGTCGGACTCGAATCCTTTGCACACTGCAACTGCAGTTTTTCTGCTCCGTTTCGGTTTGCTGTAACTCTTCACCATTATATGCCACACCAATTCGGCTAATTGAATAGCAGACTGATACTCACGAGATAAGTTGAAGTAAATTGATAGTCTTGATTATGGCCGTAAGCTCGAAAGTGTTCGCAAAACCGAAAACTCAATGAGAAAAAAATTATGTAATTTTTAAAAGATGACTTTTAAGCGAGTATAGCTTCAGTTCCGAAAAAAATCCGGGATTTTAATTTGGGCCGCGTCGTGTAAAAATCTATTCGTTCAAATGCTGACTTGAGTACAAAAAATCTTTATTTTGTTAATATGATTGAAACATGGCCGTGTGTAAGACACTCAATGGTAAGAAGCCGATATTAACAAATAAGATCTTGTTATAATAATCAATATTGTCAACTCATAGTTTTCAAAACGATAAAATCAAACCTCTGATCAGAAGTTTTTAAGGATAAAAAGAAAACTAGTGTTGACCAGTTTGAAATTGCTGCTGTTTTCCTCGTCTGTCAAAGTGAATGGTCGTTCAAATTTCACCGTAAATAAAGAGCCAGCTATATCTTCTATTGTCTTCTGCTCAGTTTTATTTTGGTTTAATTCCCTTTCAATTCATACATTTTATATTATATTTTTGTTCACTTACTACCATGCATTCCTGCAATAACTGTCACTTTGCTATGGCCGCTTTTTTGCAACATGTTTCTCGTTTTTTTGTGGCTTCCAACAGGGAAGTTTTTCCTTTTTTTAAATAGATTTATTATTGGTATAGTAGTTACTCACCGCGCGTGGTATGATAACCATGTGTTGCAATGAGCAAGAGCTACGCACTTACAAAGTGATCTTTTATACTTTGAAGCAAATAAAATAAAACACGTACCCGAAACAAACTGCATCATGACTAATAATTTAGTCTCAGCTCACGAAAAGAGGTTTGATTGAGTTTGATCTTTTATTCTATCTAACATGCTGACATTCTCTTGAGTTTTGATTGTGGGGTTGAGCTGTTATGTTTACTCAAACGTTATGTTTACCTTGACAAACAATGACTAATGCGTTCGAGTTCATTATTACCAACATATTGCTGCAAAATAACGAACATTTTTATTTTAACCATGGCTTTTTTGCTGAAAAAAGCGTAAAAATAAAAGTTAAAAAGGAATGGTGAACAGAATATCACCACAAATTAGCAAAAAACAGAAACCGTGACATGATTTTATTTTCAAGGGCAGGAAAGTCCTAAAAATATTAATAATGTACATAAAAAAATATAACTCTCTTGTTTTGATATCTGGAGAGTCAATTTGTTGTCTTGTTGTCAACTTGTTGTTTTCAAAAAAATTTTGAACATTTTTGTTTGCAATAAACAAATCTTAAAAAAAAGTGAAACAAAAAAAGGACACCCGATTTCTGTGCAAGTAGCACAGAATGTTCCGACCATATTCATAAAAAACGTAGTATAAATTTTTGTTTGTTTTTTTTTCCTCAAATTAGTGTCGTTTTTAGTGCGTGTGATTCGAGAACTATACCAAAGCGGGAAAATTTAGTGACTTAGACAATCGAAAACAATTGTTTCCAAAAAAAAGATTGGCAATCAGAAATTGAAAAAAATTTGATTATGTTTCATTTTTCTTTTTTTTTGCACAAAAATTTATACAATAGTTTTTTTTATGGTCAATTTATTGTTCAGATAGCAGGACCGTAAATGACATTTAACTTGTTGTGATCAAATATTACTACAATTGTAGTGGAGACGCCTGCTTCTTATCAATTTTTGTCCAATTTAGTCCAAAATCAAAACGCTTAGACAATTTTGCTTGACACGAAGGCAATTTTTTGAACTTTTTAGAACCAAAAACACTATAAAAACACTATTAATGAGTCTTCAATACGATACCAAACTTGACAGATAAGAAACATAAACTATTGCATAGTTCATCCTATCCCCTTAGGGGGTGGTCAGAACAGTAAAAGAAAACTTGTTACTAAAACTTTTGGTATGAATCCGTTTCGGTATCTTCTTTTTCTTATTTTCCGCTTATAAAAGCGTTTTTCAGATAAAATATACAGTTTTTAGAATTTTTCTCAAGTATATATTGACTTTTTTCCATTTTAGGAATTTCCAGAACACTGGGTCGTCTTCGTTTTGCTTTGCTTAAAGAAGAAACACAAGCAAACGTCAGAAAGTAAATATCACATTATTGCTTTTTCAGTAATGATTCCAACACTAATTAAAAGCAAGAATTTTCTTCATCGTCAAAAATACTGGACTGAACTTTAGTTATTAGGATTAATGTTTTGCAGATAGCTGGATATCTATAATTTCACTTATATTCAATCTGACTATTGACTATCATTAGCTGCTTTTTTGCGTTTGATATTTTTGTAAATAATATATTTGACCTCTACTGCTCAAGGGAAGGCTGCATATAATCGGGAAAACTACATTACGCACAAATGAAATTTCAATTAGGCGAAATTCTTGATAATGTTTTAACGGAAATCTCTTTATTAAAATCCCAGGCGGCATTGACAAGAAGTGGTCCAAGAATAAAGCTGAGAGTTAGTTTAAGGTTGCCACTTGGCGCGCTATTCGCGCTTCACCGCTTCGCGGCGATACCAGGCGAACTTTCGTATATAGTCTTACCGTCTCTTGTCAAGAAGCTTGCAAGCACGTCAGCACCACTGCAGTGGTCACTAGCTTTACTTTTTATAAGGTGTTCGAGAATTATGCCTGTATTTGGATGGCAGCAACCGAGTGAGTTACTTAATCATTTATTTTCGCCTAATATAGTCCCCCACCTCAAGGGTACCAAGATCTGCGCACAAAAAATTGCGGAGCCCTAGTTCTAAAATACATTAAGGGCAGGTCAGAACAAGGACAATAGGTAAATGAAGACTATTTTCTTATTTAGCTTTCTATGTTCTCATAGAATTCAATTTCGAAATAAACTCTTTTGCAGTTCCAATTATTTGTTTGTTCGACAGATTGAAAGTTCAAAAGTTTTTTTTGGATTTTTAAATTGTTTTGGTTTTTGTTGGAAATTTCCAAATTGCTTATATAAATTTTGTTGGAATTATTTTAAATGTTTTTTTTTTGTCTGAAGTAACACTCGCGCTAAACTTGTTTTTTTTTCAAATTAGCGCTTAAGTGATTTTAAAACCAAGCTCGAGCAGGAAGTTATGCTGAATTAGTCTATTTGAACAATGTTATTTCTAAACTTTACACTGCAAAACCAAAGCTATTTCCAATTTTTTTTCGAATCAGCATCTCGAATGAAAAAAAAATTAGTTTGAAATTAGTTGGAAAAGTACTGAAAAAAATTAGCGAACAAAAAAATGTTGCGATGACAAATTTGCTGCACTGTTTTTTTAATAATATAGTTTCAGTTATAAACGCAATGAGTGCCATTGATAAAATTTCACTGAGAGCCGAATTTGGGTTTGAAAACAAGCAAAAATAATTTGTTATGCCACTTAATGGCAAATAATTTTTTTGTGTGAACGAATGAAGCCGAAATCCTATGACAATCGGAACCTGCACCAAATGCCAGAAACATATTTTTCGGCTGTTAAATTCTGACTATCGATAAACAATTGTCCAACTCTTGTGACCATTTTAAATGATTCTGTCAGTGGATTCGGTCACATTTTATTTTTCGAGGCATTTCCGATAAAGTGCGGATCCGATCACAAAGTTTGCGTTTTCAATGACTTATGCCTCTCGTTTTCACGTTGCACGAAACGTACATATCTTGGTTTTGTAAGGTTATAACTGATTATCAGGTGTATTTTAACTGTAAACTAAACGTTTTGAACTCTCGAAATATTTTTTATCATTCGATGTACAATAATGCATCATTATTTCAAATTATTAAAGCCGGGAATTGAACTATCAAATTTAGGTCTTGAATATTTTCAAATACAATTTTCAAATGACCATTGACACAGAATTTGCACCGAATGAAGTTTGGAGCATGCTGGCAGGTATTTTCTGAGCAATAAACTTCTGAGTGTAAAAGAAGTAAATTGTGATTCTGACAGTTACAAGCAAATGTATTATAATTTTGCAAAAAAAAAAATTCTAACCAAAATGTTGGGAAAAAATAATCGGACCATGAAAACAGGGACCAGACACTTAATAACAAGGTAAAAAAATGAATCGGGAAAGCAGCCGACCAGTGTTTCTTTGTAGATGACGCAGATTTGCGAGGATTAAATATTCCAGCACAAAACGCTTTCAAACAAGAAAAATAACGCATTTATAATCCAGTGAAAAAGCGAGCATACCTTTTTTACAAACAATTAAATTATGTTTGGCTGGTTTATACTGCTTGATTTGGTTAGAAAAAAAATTCGCCAGCTAAATCGAAAAAAGTCTGATGCATGATCAATAAACACAGCTGGCACAAAAAAGGGTACACAAAAAGGGAAATTCCAACATCCCGTCCATCTAATTTGGTCAATTGGGTGGATTGGGTTTTAATTTTCTACTGTACCAGACAATACGCTATTCGCATTCCTTTCAATGAAGATCCTCGTAGATGGTTAAAATTTTAACGTTTTGTTGTTTTAATTTGGAATTAAAGCGAACTGCTCAATCGGAACAAATTTAAATCAACTCTAACTACTCATTGAATAAAATTAAAGCTGTTTCAATCGATAAAATATTGTTTCAACATAGTCTTTCAAGTTATTAATACTTATTTTTGAAATTATTACACGCAGGGGCGGATCTAGGATTTTGTAGACTTTTTTTAGGTCGACCATATTGATTTTCCGAGCTCTCCCAAACACTAAAAAGACTCTGTTTTGGTTAAAAAAATTCTGCGCCGCAGGCAGAATTTTGAAAAAAAACAGGCCAAAAAAGGCGTTTTTAGGCTTTTTTGGAAAATTTTGATAAAAAAACCTTTAGAAAACTTTAGGGTCCGTCACCACCTTTGGGTCGGCAGGGTGTCGAATCCCTGGGGGGGGGGGGGGGGGGGGGGCGTCCGGTCCATTAAATTCGCCCCCCCCACGATAATACACGATAATTATTACTACTTAATTGAACTTAATTTATGAAACTAAACGATTTCATCGTTTACAAGTTTAACGTTTAACTATAACCCCCTCTCATTGGTACAAAAAACCAACCCTTATATTATATAAAACTTAATCGATGATTTAAGTTTTTGTACCGGGTCTCGAAGTTCCTCTTTGGGAGAAATGATAAAGAGAGATGCCTATATTTATACGGGAGCAAAGAATGTAAAAAAAATCAAAAACAAGAAAATTTTTTGATTTCAAGAAAATTATAGTTTATTTTTTTTATTAACAAATTAATACACTAAGTATTTAATCATTTTCGGAGTTGATTTCAATTGCCTCTTACTTTCGAACACTTGAAAAGTATCTGACCCTCTAATTGAGTACTCTAGAACTTTGCTACGGTAGAAATTTTGAACAGCTGTTTTCGTTTCGAGACCGAGGTGACACTCCGTCATCACTTAGCTGGTATGAACGAACGATTCAATTCTGGTTCCCGATGGTAAATCTATTAGTTTCCTAAATTGATAGCTATCTGTTGTATCTGCAATGACCAGATTTGTTCTAATGAAAAACTGGTGTTTGACAATTTCAAGTGTACTTGTTCTCTAAAAAAGGGTAACGGACTTTTAAAAAGAAACAAATTTTCTTCAAAATTTATTTTGAGTACAATTTGCGAACCCAGTGTGGCACGCAACAGCTTGATTTTGGCCTTTATAAAGGAAGTAATTCAACCAAATTTTACTTTAACAACTTGCATCAGAAATCTCCAACTCTTTCTATCTTGAAAATTCTTCGATTTTCCCAAACTAAAAAATGCCTCTGAAGCCAGCCCCCACTCTCGGCGTGATCAGACTGGACTACGACTACCCTCCAGCATGTGGAGACATTGACTGCCCTGATACGTACGGTTACGATGTCTACTACAAAGTAGTTCCAGGACTCACTTTCGAAATGGCCCAGTCCGGAAAAATGACTCCACAAGTCCAGTCTAGATTCATCGAGTCTGTCAACTGGCTCATCAATACCAAGAAGGTCAACGTCATCACTGGAGACTGTGGATTCATGGTGTACTTCCAAGAGACCGCTTTGAGTATCCATAAACAGCAACCAGTGTGTATGGTTATGAGTTCTTTGCTGCAACTGAAGTCCATACAAGCCACCCTCTCACCCAGTGACGAAATCATTGTCATGACTGCAAACGGCTTCGCTTTGGGACAAATGGCGCCAGCTTTTGAGAAAGCATGCGGATTCTCAATCGTGGACCCTCGAATCAAGATCTTAGGCTGTGAAAACATTCCTGGATTCGAAGCTGTCGCTCTAGGCGAGAAGGTAGACGTCGCCAAAGTGCAACCAGGAATGGTGGACCTCGTGAACAAAACACTGAAAGCGAACCCCAAGGTCAAAGGTATTCTGCTTGAGTGTACCGAGTTGCCCCCTTATGCAAATGCGATCCGAGAATGCTCGGGACTCCCAGTTTGGGATGTGATCTCCGCATGTAATTATGTCGTCTCGTCGTTCCTGAACGAGCCGAGGTATGGTAAGCAGGGATGGCAAGCCGATTGGGATCAAGTGCAAGACGAGTACAAGTTCGGACAGAATGTGAAATCATCCAACAAAGTATACCTTGTGAACAAACCAGCAAAATAAAAAAAACTCAAACTAAATAAAATTTGGTGCAGGCTAAAATGAATTCTAAAAATATTTACTATAATTTTTCTGTACTACGTCTTTGACTTAATTAACAAAGTATAAGCTCATAACAAACCTTTTTAAACTCAACTTAAGCAAGACAGCAAAACAGTATCTAGTTCTCACACATAAGGTTCAGGTTATTTTAACTCTTTCATTGAAGTTCTACGTAGATAACTGAAACTTTCATTCAAAGACTTTTTCAACTGCTTCGGTGAGCAAAAAATTGCAACAGCATGTCGGTAAAAATTTTCCATATTTGATTCAATTTCGAATATATATTAAGGAATTTTACGGTAACTAAAACTCTGGTTTTAACCTGATAATAAGAAAAAACTTTTCCTCCATTTAAGCTCGTCCGACAAAAAAGTGCGTCGGAAAAAACGCAATTCAAAAAACATTTTACATGCAATTGTTCAACCCCGACTTTTTGTAAGATCGAGCAATCTGATCTCAAATTTTTCCAATAATTTTTAGCAGAGTAAGCTTATGGTAAGAATTATCCCGAAAACCTATTTTATTTCACCTAAGACAGCATTTAGAAAAAATTCGATTTGATTTTAATGAAACTCCTATAAAAAACGTATGAACAAAAATACGACAATTTGACAACTGAAACTTGAAACGACAATCCACATTTCCTGTTCTCGTTAATTACTTATTGTTTAAAACACACCTCGTAATTAAGCCTTTTCATGAGTCTACAGCAATTCTAAGGGCGAGGTATGTTTCGACCGAAGTGGAATTGTATTTCAAATGTTTGAAAAAATTGGGAGTTAATTAGCCAATGCTTAAGCGAAGTGATCTTTTAGCCAATTTTTTTTATCGGGTTGTGCTTAGCCGGATTTGGACTTGGTTTCAATTACGCTCAGACCTTTTTTGCAGCTAGAAGCATGTTTCAAACGTGCTTGAGATACATTTAATATTTTATCGATTGAACTTAGTTACGGAAAAAAACGCTTATCAAACAATTTCTATTTATGTCCCACAGTGCACAATATTAGCATTTTATATTAACGATTCAGCAGACACAGTTAAGAATAATTATATGACTCTAGTTGCAGATGATTCAAATTTGAGCGGCAACTAAAAAGCAAAAATCTACTTGATTAGCACTTCGTTGATTTAAAAATGGATGAATGCTAACAAAATGACATTGAATACATTAAAACCCATTTCATGATAACAAGCAGAAAGCCAAATTTCCCTACCATGTATTGGGATAGAACTACACATAACCCCACCAGCACTGTTAAGTTTTTAAGCGTCAACATTGGCAAAAAAATAAATTTTCCAGAACCTTGCGAGGCAGTAATGAAGAAGTCAATCAAGTTTACTAGCGTGTAACGCACCACTGGTGCTTCGAATTTTCAACAACTCATTAAAGCCGCGTATATTGGAAATAAGATCTGCATCCTTTGAGTATACTATGACAGCACCAAACTACAGGGTTCTCAATTACAAATTTTGCAAAGCTTTTTTATTCAAGTTTTTTAATACAAATTTTGAAAAATTAGAAAATTTTGTGAAGTTTTATGTTCTTTGAAAAAATTCAAAATTAACGAATGAGCGTCACATCTTAGAAATTTAAAGCAATTGAGCAGTCGCATTTGGACGCAAAATTTGCAACTCCTGAGAGTAATCTTACAGTACCCAACTACAACGTTGGGAAAAATCATAATTTGAGAAACTTCAAACTTAACTTTTCTAAAAAACGCTATTAATTGAAAACCAGAAAAAACTTTACACCTCAAAAACTACCATGATTTGAGCAGTCTTATTTGAAGGCAATATACGCAATCCTTGACAGTACTCTGACAGCACTCAACTTGAAGATTGGGAATCTCAATTTTGTGAATTATTTTGTAATTTGAGTTTTCTGAAAAATTCTGAAAAAAATCACAAAAATCGTCGTAGCTCGTTAAGTGAAAAACTTGAGCCTTCTTAATTGGAAGCCAATTTCAGCACCCATGTGATTACTACGACAGCCCCCAACTACAGGTTAGCAATTTCAGATTTTGAAAAAGGTTTAACTTAAGTTTTCGGAATTTTTTTTTGAAAAATGACAAAAAACGTCATACCTGGAAAACTTAAAGGTTTTGAGCTGTCATATTTGGAGGCAAAATTCGAAACTCCTGCGAGTACCCTGAGAGAGCCTCACTATAGAGATGGGAATTTCAAATTTTGTGAAATTTTTTATATCTAAGTTCTCGGAAAAAATTTTCTATATCTAAGAGTTCTCGGAAAAATCCTAAAAACGTCATATCTCGAAAACTACAAAGATTTGAACAGTCATAATCAGAGCCAAGATTCGCAACCCCTGAGAATACCCTGACAGCACCCAACTACAGTGTGAGAAATTCAAATATTGAGAAATTTTTTCAAATTTAATTTTCTAGGAATTTTTGACAAATCTCGAAAATTACCGTATCTCGTAAACTAAAAGGATTTGGAGGCCAGATTCACAACATCCCACTATTAGTTTGCTTATTTCAAACTTGATGAAATAAACACTGAATTTAAACAGCAAAATCGAAAAAAAACCTTGACCATTGCAATATGCGATATAGCTTAAACGTGCAAAAACTCTTTTGTTAAACATCCAAACATAATACGTTGAAAAAGCTTAAACATGGCGAGACAGTGAAGCCCGCAACTAAATATATAAAATATTTCAAAGCTGTTCACCACAAGGAAATTTCTTAGCCAAAAATTGCTGATGAAAACTTTCAAAACTTTCGTTCAGCCGCTGTATCAGTATGGAATTTTTAATTACGGAAACGCAGACAAAACTACTCTGTTTAAGTTGCAAGGAATAGAAATTTTTTTGTAGCGTATTATCATTGGATCGAGAAAAATTGAAGAAGTTGGAATAGTTGGACGAGAAGAAAAAAAATTGCTCTCTTTTCGACTTACATATTACGAGTTACTCATGTTATTAACAAAAATTCTAAAAGTTGATCACAAAAGCGACTTCGTTAATGGTTTCATCTCTAAAAGTGAAATAGAAGCCTTTTAGAGTGGAAAACTAAATAAAAAGTTTGTTAAATAAAGTACGCTTATTTGCAATAAGCAAAAAGCGATATCGATTTGAGTCAGAATACTCTTCTTACGTTTGCAAATTTTGATCCGTCGATAATTAGAACAATTTATCAGCATTGAAAAAGCGAAGCTGGATGATTATATTCATAAAATAAAAAAACTTTTGTTTTTTAGACTTTGAGGTGTTTACAAGGTTATTTTGATGATTGTTTCACCTCAAGGCAAATTTTAGTTACTTTGTACAATTTTGACAGTTGTTTCTCCTTAACCTTTATAATTTTGTATTGTTTGACAATTTTTCCGTTTGAAAATCGAAATTTTTCCGACAGTCAGCGTAACTAAGTACACTGAAAAATGGTTACTGGGATAAAACTAAGGAAAGCTCTCACACAGCGCTTTCTAACAGACTGCAAGCCTTCAGTGTGCATTCAAGATCGGTACTCGGTAAATGTTGAATTATACTAAATTATCAGTGTAACAAACCATCCTTGAGAACAATTTATTACACAGATGCGAAGCTGTGCTTCGCAAACACTGACGAGAGAGAACACGACAAAAAAAACAGCTCTACACTGAAAAAAAAAAGAAAAAGTAGAAATAAGCCTCGAATTATTAAAAATTTAGCTTATTGTGGGATTCAATTCTGCGACCTGAAGAAATTGTTTCTCACGCACTAACCACTCAACAGCCTACGCTTAAGGTAACAAACACAAGGCACGAATAAAGCAGAGAACAATGATATGAATTTTTCAATGCTGCAGATCGTGATTATAGCAAAAGTTCCACCAAATAAGCATTTTTGTTTACGAGTAAGTTTGTAAAAAAGAAATTTCTCGCTAAAACACTACGCTCGCAAGCTCGTTAGTGTAATTATATGAGCAGAATAACTCACTAAATTTCATTTGATTATAAATCAAGCAACCAAATGATTCAGTGATTCTGTAAAACAAGTTGTTAACCGAGAAAAAAGTCTAGATTCCGATTTGAGAACGCTTTCAATCGCCAGCGTAAATAAAATGACTGCTAAAAATTGATGAACATCGGAAAATATATTTCACTGAGTATGTTTAATATGTTGTTTTTTGAAATTAGACAAAAATCCTGATTGGTTAATAATGGCGAGAAGTGTCTTTGATCATAAAAACGTTTTTGTCAACCCATTGTCCATTTTTATCTTGAGTTTTAGCTGATACTAGAAAGACTAAATTTTTGTCAGCCAATAGTGCAGAATGGTTATTAAACTCGCAACCAAACGGGATCAGATGAGAAAGAGAATAACCAGATGAAGTGCTTGGTCGGTATAAGAAGGTTAACGTTCTTGTTGAGAGTGACCATATTATCAGAACGTTGTTTTTGATGTGCGAAATACAACTGATCTGTTCGACACGGTGAGTGATGGATCCAATGAGAGACACGTTAGCTGATGATTGTCGACTTGTTTGAATTTCAACCACATCATTGTCCTGATTCACTAAATGTACGAAGGTACTATCATGACACCCGTTGACAGCCCGAGGCATAAACTCGCAATTGTACTCAATGGAGGGTTGGTTCGATTGTCTGATTTGATTCTTCGTTCTGTCCCAGAAGACGAATTCGGCAACATCGTTTTCAAGTGAAACAAAAAATAATGGAATATTATGGGACTCAAGGTTTATTTCGATATCTATGAACTTTTTGTTTGCGATATCAAAAAGACGTGCAACTTCAGGAATGAAAATTAATATACTAGGACTAGCATTAAGATTCTCAAGGAAAAACGCTTGTATTTTGATTCGGGGATTAGCAATTTTTATCACCCCTAACTTCCTTTTGTCCATTTTCATGGCATCCTCGTTTCCGTGAAGTTCGAACTGGCATCTATGGACAGAAATTTGACATCCAGTTTTCTCTACGGAATACAAGTTGCCGCTGTACCGGCTTTCCAGTCTTTTTGAATATACGTAGCACGTTTTGTCTTGCGCAACTATAGGCATTTCAATATTTTCGACATACTTGCTCAAAACTAACTTAGTTGTCTCAGAAAAATTGTAATCATCGCCCTGTATTTCACACAACTCTAGTTCCGCTTCTTTAGTTTTGATTTGTAGCACTGACTCTTCAAATTGGTTTAACTGTTCTGCCTTCTCCATGTCCAAACTCGACAACAATTCGCGAAGATTGCTCTGAAATTTTAACAGCATTTCGTAGTTTTCCTTGGCATCTTTTTCTACTTGGATAGTTTTTTGATGTTCTACTTCAATGTGATTCAAAAGATTTTGTTTTAAGACCTCGAGATCCAAGGAAACGAGTTGCACCAATTTTTCATAGCCATCTACTCGTTTTTGTTTATTTGCATGTATTCTATCCAGCGTACCGCGGACTTTTTTCTCAGAAGAATCCAAATCTGATATCAAATCGAAAATCTTTGCCCTCGTTTGAGAAGCTCGTTCTTTAATTGGCATGATGCTATGATTGACATGTACCGATATGCAATTTGAACATAGAGTTAACTGGCAAGTGGAGCAAAACATTGAGCACAGGTTCTTGTGAATCTCACAAATTGCCGGCTTTAGTGCTTTGTCATTTAATATTTCGTGATCTCGTCTAACGTGTGACAGAATGCATAAATTACAATGAAAGGGCAGGCTAACTGTTTCTTTTGATTCCTCAATACAAGTGGTACACTTGAACATTATGTCGAGATCGAATAATTCTAAACAAGACGTACACTTCTCTTTTGATACTTTTTGGCCAGCCATTGCCTCAGCTTCTGCTGGTTCCTTCTTCTGGTCGCCAAATGACCTTGTATCCATTCCAAAATGAAAGTCAAACTCCAGGTTTAGAAAATAAAAATAGCAAGTAAAAATTACGAACTAAAAGTGAAGATGAGCTCTTTTATTTATTTAATTCGTTTCTGACTTTACAGCTCACGCATAAATTATTTGCATACCTCCCGGATTGATGTGGCAGAGCAAATCAGCAATGCTTCAACATTATTACGGCAGTATTCAGAAACCATAGCATTATGACAGAGGTGAAACATAGATCAAGCATAATCAACACTGAATCATTTATGCTAAGTAGTTTTATTTTGCAGGTGTGCCAGTTAACAGGCCGACGAGATTTCAAGTCGAATAAAAAAACGGGGTGAGGGAGCCGAAGTTTTCCGGGTAAATTTAGAATTAACTTAGAAAGGTCGCGGAAACAAACTTTTTGTTCGGGTTGAGCTTTTGAGAGTAAATACCACATGTTTTAAAAGTTTTAATTAAGATTTCCGACCTCAATATGGACTTTTCTTTCACCGAAGCAAAACAAAACGGCCAAAATTTACCTAATAACCAATTTATGTACAGAAGAATCAACACCAATGAAAATTTTAGTTACTTCAAATGCTGTGAAATCAATTGTCTATCGCGTCTCACAATGACTGGTACTTAAAATTGGTTACCAGAAAACCTGGAGAATACAGTCACCTCCACCCGGACAAAAAAAATCAGCAAGAAAATTTTTGGAAAACGGCTAAGCAGAGATGTGATAAAAAGTTAGAAGTTTAAAAAAATTGCATGACCAAGCCATACATTGGACTTCTGAAAATTTTTTGCCCCCAAGAAAAATTAGAAAAAGTTAAACTTTTAGTTTTAAAGAGAATAAATATTTAACTAACCTGATCGCTTGATGCGTATTAAAGTTGTTCAGAAGCTATTCTATATTTATTGCCGTCTCTTTATTGTCAGTTGAGTTTAACAAACTGTCACATTGTGTCAACCATGATAGATTCTCGGGGAGGACGTGAGAAAATTTCAGAACAATTTGATGTCGTGAAAATTGAAGGTGCTTAGCGAAAAACCAAACAAGGTAAAGAATTTTTTGTTCATCAAGAAGTCGGTCTCGTAATTTGCGACAACCGAAGGCCTAGAATTATTGGTTCGTTCAAAAATTATTATGGGAATGGAACTTTCAAATTGCACTCCGCCACCATTTACCCAATTTTACGCATTATTCGAAACAAGCAGTGAATGGCTTTTGCCAGTAGTTGGGGCGTTTTTGGGCTCAAAAACTAACGAAAATTATTCATTTTTTAAACAATTTTGAGCAAAAAACCTTTCGAAAATTTTGTGTATATTTGATGCCAGAATCAATCATAACAGACTATGAAACCGGAGCAATTGCAACTTTCAAGAAACTTTTTGGTAGATATACTTATTGGGGCTGCTGGTTCTATTTTTTTCCACTATAATTCGAAAACTTCGAGATTTTGATGTTCAAAAAGGCTATCAAGACAAAAATCTGAAACAAAATCCGCTTAAACTTTTCTGTGCACCGTTTTTGCGTGAAAATGCAATTGAAGCTGCTCTCGAAAGATCCGATTTTTCTCGATACCATGAAATCTTTTATTTTCGCTTTTATATGGAATTTTTGGCCAAATTTCTTTGACTTTATGGATTGTTTGATCGACACCTGAATATGAGGATAACCAACAGATTTGAAGGCTGGAATCGGGATTGGAACGACTGTGATAACAAAAAATACGGGTTTTTGGACGGTTGTCCAAAATTGGGAGAACAGGAACAATATACGCAACTCGATATACGACGTATTTCACGAGAAGCATCTTTTGTTCGAAAAAAGAAGTATCGATGAGAAAATTTCTCGCTTATAAAACTTTTATTGAGATGGAAATATATCTTTGGAAAACTATTCGAAAGGTGTTTCTAATATTTGCAGTAAATTTCGCAATTGAATTTCTTACAAATTATTATTTTTTATAATTTTCCGGCTAGAAGTCCCGTCAGCTTGCAGACACTTCGCCTTGAAGTCCCGTCGGCTTGTGGCCCTAGACCCCTTTTGCAAAACCAGATCGTTCTTTATGTGCACGATTGATTGTATAGCAAAACCTTGCTGTACTGCGTTAATTGTTTTTGTGTTTAACAGTGCTGATTTAAATTAACCGGACCAAACGAGATAAACTTGAATTATAAAACGCGTTTTTCTCAAATTGGGTTGAGTTTAGATGAAAACTTGCTTACAATTTTAGCAGAGTTAATATTGTGTAATTTGTTTTGCGAAATTCGGGCCCGAAATTTTACCCCTAAAATGGGTCATTTTGGCTTTTCTTGGCTAATCAAAAATTACGCCGAAAATAACGAGTCGATCACAGACATAATTATATCAAAGTGAGCCCCTTACATAGCCCAACAAATTTAAGAAGGGTTAATTCTCCAAAACATTGTATAAAATAATTTATTTTCGGTTGATAGACAAAAAAGGTCGTTTTTACGATATAAAATACCAGCTTTTTATTTAAAAACAATTTTTAAACGGTTTGCAATTTTTTTTGGAGAATATACCCTTCTTAATTTTGTTGTGCTACGTAAGGGGCTCACTTTGATATAATTATGTCTGTGATCGACTCGTTATTTTCGGCGTAATTTTTGATTAGCTAAGAAAAGCCAAAATGACCCATTTTTGGGATAAAATTTCGGGTCCGAATTTCGCAAAACAAATTACACCATATTAATTATGCTAAAATTTTGAGCAAGTTTTGTCTTCATAAGTTTGCGCCTAAATTCAACACAATTTGAGAAAAACGCGCTTTAAATTTCAATTCTAACGCGTTTTGTCCGGTTAACTTAAATCAGCACTGAATAGATTTTTTTGGCAAAAGCCATTTGGCCAATAGGAACGTTTCTGATTGGTTGAAAACTTTCCTTCATTGGTCCCTCCATAATAGAAAATACCCTGCTCCTATATGTTTCCTTTTTTTGCACGCACCATGATTTTTTAAAAGCAGAGAAATTAAAGATCGAATTTATGTACAATTTTACAAGCTACACATTTAAGTTTATTGAACATTTATAAAGATGCAAAATTATTTTGACAGTTTAGACGAAACAGATGCATATATTTGCTGCAATTCTATAGGAGAAAGAGTTTCTAGTAGCAATTCAATAGCACGAACAGTACAGCTCTTTTCCAGTTCCACATTTGATGATTCACAGGGTGTATCTTTAGCACAAGTATCGATGCTACGCATTAAATCATCGCATGCAATTGTCGAATGAAGACTTGCTTGTTTAAACACAGGAAGCAAGGGTGCCGAATAGAGCTAAAAACAAAACAAAGGTGGTTAAAGTTAGGAACGACAGTGCCGTCTCAATAATTTGATTCAGAGCCTGGAGTATTTATATGCTTTTATCTCGTTTATCAAAAAGGACAACATTTTGTAACTAGAACAAGGACAGGCGGTTACTATGCAAGTAGCGCAGAATGTTCCGACATTAGTTTCAAAAAATACAAAACTTTTTCAAATTATTGTCGTTTTTTCGGCGTGGTGTGATACAAGGAGCTGAAAAAAAACCGGCGATTAGGTATATTCGGCAATCGTACTAAAGTTAGCAAATCGAAAAACAATTTTGTAGAAAATTACTCCACAATAGAAAAAAAAATCAAAAAAATTTTTGGAAAACTTTTACAAGCTTTCTTTGCAGTTTTGAAAACGCTGATTCCGAAAAAGCGCTAAAATAATCAAAGTAAACTAGCGTTACCCAAGTAAAACTAAGTTTTTTTGTTTTAAATTAAGCTGTCAGGAACGACACGTTCCTTTTTAAAAACCAGAAAGAAGACCCATCTATCACCAACTAGAACTCAGCAGAGGCAACTAGAACTGGATAACTGCAACTAACTAAAACTCTATGATATAGTTCTGACCGATATAAATTCACTAACCATTTATATAACCATGTATACCATTTGTTTAAAGTGTATGAACCATTATTATATACCAGTATTTCCTTTTAGCTGTAGAAGACACAATCAGTCAGTTTTAAAAAATTAGCGGAAAAGGATCGCCGACATTTAGCTTTATCAATACCAAGCAGAACCCGAAAGAATATAAACTGGAGTTATCATGTGGCGACAGAGACGGTGGCGTTTTTCTGCAAATTACCAACTTATTCCAAATTCCTTTGCTAAGACAGACTGAAACGTTTACAAAACTTAATGAACAGCTTTTAAATCAAGAAAATATTGCAGCTAACAAATCTTCTGCATTACTACTAGACCTTATATTGCTAGAATAATATTCATTTTCATTAATGACTTTGTAAATTTGAAGATAAACAATTACAATTTTTAAAAAGTTCATTACTCTACTATTAAAAATTACAAACTTTACAACGAAAAACAAAATTAAATTTCAATTACAACCAAATTTGAAAACATTACCTTTTGGAAACCTTCGTACAACTCGTGACCCCTACACCTTCACAAAAAAAAGCCGAACAGCTTGACTACAACCTGGAACTTTTTCTATTTCTGTAATCAATTTTTTTTAATGGCAGCACCTTGTATTACAATCTCTTCACCTAGTATTACAATCTCAGCGTTTACTGGAGAAGAGGACGAAGTTGGTTGAAGTTAAAAGTACTTTTACGAGCTAGTATCATTGTTGCCCATATACCAGAAGCACAAAATCAACAAGTCCTTTATTTTTAACTCGATCAAGATGGAAAAGCCCTCAAAGTTTATTCAAATCTTGATGATGTTGTACGAATTTATGCGGGACAAGCTTTGAGTCAATTGCAAAATCAATACACAGGGTCTGATCAAATCAGAGAAAGTGACTTTGAATTGCGCAATAGAAATTTCAAATGCGAAACTGAAGATACACTAGATTTCCAAACTGATTTCTATCGTCTAGCAAGCTTGGCTTTTCTAGATGACAACGACGCAGGCAAAAGCCGAGCAGATGGACGAAACAGGCGAGTAACAAATTATTGGCGGAATGACCTTCAATAAAAGAAAGCTCAGCTCAGAGAACCCGAAATCTGCTCTATTATTCGCAGAAGAGTTTAAGTTGACGAATGGAAAATGCCAAAAGGATAAAATCTGCAATTTCAGCCATTCGAAGTAAAGCCCGCTATCGCAAAGAAGACAGCAAAACTTCTCATGTCTCTACAGTTTCAACATATACTGGCTACCTAGAGAGCAGTCACAACAACCAATATCTAAACAATAGATACAATCTCGAAACTCTCGCAGAAAATGAAGAGTTTTTCACTGGCGATGAAGACGAAAACGAACCATCGAACTCCCTTGACCACGCGGATTAAAATGATATTGGCTACAATCAAGATATTCAGGAAAAAATTTCTGGATCTGAAGACCAGGATCCAAATCAGTTCTCTGATTAGGTAGTACCTAAGACTGTCGAAGGCAATTGGGCCGGCTGGACAAAAGCCAGTCCGTTGTTTTGCAAATTGTGAAGTAGCGAAACTCATCTCACAAAAGGTATCTCCCCTACCTCCGCTGAGAGTATAAGGGAATATAAGGCTTATTTTACTTTCAATTAAATATTATGAATGCCTTTGTACTAATCATCTGGCAAACTGGCCGAGTATCAAAACTGAGTCCCTGTTGTTTCTTTAGACTCTCCATTTCAAAATTTGCACCTGTGAAAGAATCGACTCACTAATTTTTAAACAAAATGCAATTTGCACAGTCACAAATCGAGACTAGAAAGAAAACTGAGGAGCACTGATTATCATTCCGATCCTACTAACGGCCTAGTTTACCTTCGGCAACTGGTATTTCAAACTTTATTATGAATATCCTAGCTAAATTAAGACGAGCCCCAAAAATATTGATGCGCTATTTGTCAAACTCTTAGGATTAACTCGAGAAAATTTGAACTATGAAACTATCCACCAAAAATTCGCATCCCCCTTTCTTACTTTTTTCAAGCTTCTCTTTCATTTTGTTGCTTCTGCACGTTCCTTAGGAACATGCTTTTCCACGTTCCGTCGATAACTAAACCAGATATCTACTTTGAATTGAAGCTCAGGAGATGACTCAAAACAAACAAAGTTTTGGGAAAAAACTGAACTCAGAATCATTATTTTGGAAATTAACCCTAATTTATGATTTTCACTTATGCTTAATGTATAAAAACTTCAACTCAGATTGACAGATAATCAATCCATAGAACAGGAGAACTAATGAATTCCCTCTGTTAAGATGCAAATTACATCCCCTTAAGGCCCTTATAGGACAAAAAGTCTGTAAGAATATTCTCCTTTACTTCCCAAATTCATTATCGATTCCTGTCACAACGCCTTCCCTTAAATTATAGCCCTCAGGTAGTACCGAAACACAAAATGCAATTAACAAGCATGTCTCTAATTCATTTCCATTAAAACCGCGTGACAACGATATGAGTCATACGCGAAAATGACCTCTTACTAACTCTTATTATCCCCTCCCAAACAAAAAAAAATCAAAATTTAACTTGCGATAACATGAAAAAAGTGGTAAAACAGGTTACCAAGAATATAATATAATAAACCCCTTTATCCACCTTCGTTTTCACGACTAGCAGAGCTTGAAACAAAAAAAAAATCCATTTCATACGCACAGTTTACGAAAATGTTTCAAACTTTTTACCTCGGTCGTAGAAGATTTAATGCTCTAAGCATGATTGGCCAGTACGAGTTATTAACCAAGTGCACGTTTTCGTTCCTAGAACCCAAAAACTCTTAAGAGCGAGTAGTTTCACCCTCTTTAACCAGTAGTAAAACAAAATTAGTCTCCCATCGTGGCAAAATGCTTGCACTAAAAAGTCGTCAGAAAATTTTTGTGTTTACCCATTATAGCACGCTTCTTCCAACATTTTTCATTTTTGAAACCAACTTTTGAGAAAAAGTTCTCAAAAACAAGCCAAACAAGCTCAATGATTTGAGAAAAAAAATTTAATCCAACCGACATCTTTCAGGAAGGGGTCCATTTAGCGTAACTAAATTTGTGATTTTTTGACAATTTTTATTTTAATCGCCTGGTTTTTCTCTCTTGTTACAGCCCAATCTAAGGTAAATTCCATTAACCTTTTTCGCTCCCCTTTTACTATCTCAATTATGATTCCCTTACCAAGCCTGCTGCTAATCTACTTTCCATTACCAATCACACAACAACATTCACCAATGTGGAGAGCAGCGATGGAACCGGAAAAGAATAATGCGGAAAGATGTAAAATACACGAAATAACTGTTGCTATTTCTTCAGAAAAAAGCCCGCAGTGCCAAGAACGGCACGTTCCTTTTTGATAACCAGAAAGACCCAGTTCTCCATCTCCAACTAGAACTGCATCTAGAGTTGTATAACTGCAACTAAAACTCTGTTCTAGTTCTGACCGATAGAAATGCCTTAACTATATACCAATGTTTTAAAGCTGTATGAACCATTATTATATACAAGTATTTCCTTTTAGCTGTAGAAGACAATTCTAAATTCACTCTCTAAGAGTCAGTCAGTTTTAAAAATTTAACAGAAACGGATCGCCGACAGTTAAACCGTTTGAATAAGACTGCTCGCTCGTTTTATTCGCTCGAAATAAGACAAAAAATCCGAAAGTTTGAAACCGGTTTTTCTCGACACTTGGAAAATTTTCTCTTGATTTTTTTATGTGTTTCGAATCACGACTGTAAGGGCTTTAAGATGATATATCACTCAACCCAGTCCGATCATTATTTTTGGTACCTGATTTTGCGTGAAAAAAAACTAAAAAAAGACCTGAAATTTAAGTTCCTCCCCATTTTTAATGGTCGGAACAAAAATGCATTCACAAACACGTATATTATGGATCAGAGTCCAGAGAGTTCGCCAATTTAACTCAAAGCTGACGTTCTGAACAATCATCACAAAAAAGTAGGCGATTATGCAAAATTCGCAAAAGGGTCAACTCACACTCAAACACATTTTACTGCCCTGCCTTTGCTAGCAAAAAGTCACGACTTAGCGGATGGGTTCGACATGAAATGCTTCACAGCGCTGCAATGTACTCCAAATCGATATATACTCTGCAATGTACAGCGCTGCAATGTACTCCATAGCAGCTTTTTTAAACAAAAAAAAACTTGAAATATTTTCTCTCCAATTACCTATTTCCTGAATGTAATAATTACCTTTGCACCCATTACTCTCACTTCTTGAGTTGCTTTCATTATGCTCGTCTTGGCCATATCATTCGCATAGTCACTCAGCACATGTATACTGTTATCATTCTTAAACCCATTCTTTTTCATTTCCACAACTCCTTCATCAGATTTCGATTCCTCCGAAACATCAGTTTGCTCAGCATTTTCATTTTGGCACCCATTTTCTAATAATCCATTGGACAGTTTAAGCACCGCTTGGCTATCTATTGCATTGTTTTTGCTCACTTTCTGATCACCCTCTGCTTCGATTGTGAGATCATCATTACAGAGTGTTTCTGATGTGAGTTCGCTTCTTTCGTGTTCTGTTATTACTAAAAACACCATAGATTTTTTGGTTTATAAGCCATAGAAATAATCAATCGACAGAAAACAACTGGCGACTCTACACTGACTCGGCATTATGCAATTTGCAAAACAGTCGAATATCTCATAAGAACCATTTTATTTTTCCGAAGAAATTCAAACTGAACTTTGAACTAAAATTAAAAATCCAAACTAACAACAACTTTTCGAAGCATAAACTTCAAGGGATTTCAAAGAATGGAACATCTACGAATGATAGTGCAACAAAAAATAATTTTTTACCTTTTCCGTCCAATTTATTCAATTGTGGTAACATTCTGATGACAGATTTCCGATATTGTTCATCTTCTGCTACTGGATTGTCTAGTAGCCATAATGTTTTCAGCTTGGGAAGGTCTTTCAGGTGGATTAATTGGTGCAAATCAGATACTTTATTGCGTCTGAGTGCTAACTGGGTCAGCTGCTTACACTTTGAGAGAGGAGACAGATCGGATACAGAATTCGAACTAAACAAGCATGACTCAATAAACAACTTAAGCTGTCCCATTAAGACCTCCAAGCAGTGATTTTTAGATTTATAAACCATAGTAAAGATATGCAATATATTTGAACTTGACATGCCTCTCATGTACAGATGCATGAAGATTGTCAGATTTCAAAAAAAAATCATAAGAATTTTTATTAAAAGAAACTAAAAAGGTATATTATTATATGTATCACTCACCTTAGAATGACAACTTCTAACTGCGTCATATCTTCTATAATGGAGATGTCGTCAATATCGGAGCCCCTAAAACATACAAACAATCAAGATACTGAACTGAAAAACACGTCTGCTCATAAATTAAAAACGAATTTTAGAAGCTGAAAAACTTATGATTTGTATGCTGAAAGAAACAAGTGCACAGTCATCAAGATTTTGTTACTTACATCTGCCAACAAATTATTCATTTGACCTAATACGACACATCTAAGTGGAAATTACACCACCGATCAATCTCAAAATGAATTACCAGCAGTTAATTTTCCGCAGACAAGCAAGAGGCGAATTGACTTCGGACTGCTCATTTGAGTTCTGATCACCGTCATTTGCACACGATGAAAAACTAGAAGACAAGGCAGAAGAATCGACGCTACTGCTGTCTACACTCTGCAAAAGCAGGACTTCTTCCGTCAATTTCACCATAGCAACTCCAAAATATGCAGGCACTTACATTTGTACTGAAAAATAAACATTCATCAATATCATTTAAACTAGCATGTAACACACGTTCGGTGCCTCGAACTTTTAACAACTCAAAAAACCGCAAATATTGGCAATAACGTCGGCATCGTTTGAGTGTACTCTGACAGCATCCAATTACAGGGTTAGTAATTTCAAATTTTGCAAAATTTTTTATTAAAGTTTTGTGAAGTTTTGAAAAAAAATAAAATGAACTAAGAAACGTCACATCTCGGAAACTAAAAGCAATTGAGCAGTCACATTTGCACGCACGATTTGCAACTCAGCAAAGTACTATTACATTACCCAACTACAGCGTTGGGAATCTCTAATTTTCTTAGAAAAATACATAATTTTTGAAAAACCAGAAAAAACGCCACATCACGAAACTAGCAAGATATAAGCAGTCATAATTGAAGGCAAGATTTGCAACCCCTGAGAGTACCCTGACAACCCCCAATTACAGGGTTAGGAATTTCGAAAAAAGTGTTTTAAATTTATTTTGAAAAAATCAAAAATTTAAAAAACGTCATATCTGGAAAGCTAACAAGATTTGAACGGTCATATTCAGAGGCAAGATTCGCAACCCCTGAGAGTACCCGCACAGTTTCCAACAACAGGATTGAGATCTTCACAAAGCTTTGAAATTTTTCAAAATCTAAGCTTTTCTGAAAAACTAGCGTTTAACGCACCTTCGGTGCTTCGAAATTTTTCGACAACTCAGTAAAAACCACATATATTGGAAACAACATCTGCAACTTTTAGTGTACTCTGACTGCACCCAATTACAAACTTCGTATTTTTTTCAATTCCCATTTTAAAAGCGTCATCTCAAAAACTTAATGGGCCTCTGGAGAACTTTGGAGGCCATATTTGCAACCACTGAGAGTCCCTGAGAGCAACCCTACTATAGGGTGAGGAATCCAAAATTTTGTGAACTTTTTTAAACCTAAGTTTCCCGGGAAAAAAAAATAAAAAAAAAACGTCTTTCTCGGAAACTATAAGGATTTGAGCATTCATATTAAGAGGCAAGATTTGAGACGCCTGGGTGAACGCTGACAATAAAGTTGTATCTTCATCAAGCTGGTAGTTTCAAATTTTTTGAATTTCTTTGTAGATAAGTTCTTTAAGAAATTTTGAAAAAATCAAAAAACGTCACAGCTCGGAAACTAAAAGCAGTTGAGCAGTCGCGTTTATCACTTGCATGCGGCAAGATTTGCAACTCTTTAGAGTAACCTGACAACACCGAACTATAGCGTTGGGAATTTCAAATTTCGAAAAAAAAATAATTTTAACTTTCTGAAAAAATCACAAAAAACGTCACATCTCGAAAACTACAAAGAATTGGGCAGTCATATTTAAAGGCAAGATTCGCAATCCTTAAGAGTACTCTGACAGGACCTAACTACAAGGTTAGGAATTTCAGATGTTTAAAGAATAAAAGTAATTTAAGTTTTCTGAAAAATTATGAAAAAATCACAAAAAAAACGTCATACCTCAAAAACTACTAAAATTTGAGCAGTCACACTTGAAGACAAGATTCGCAATCTTTGAGAGTACTTTGACACGACCTAACTACAAGGTTGGGAATTTCAGATGTTTAAAGAATATTAGTAATTTAAGTTTTCTGAAATATTATGAAAAAATCACAAAAAACGTCATATCTCGAAAACTACAAAAAATTGAGCACTCATATTTGGAGGCAAGAGTAGCAATCTTGGAGATTACTCTGACAGGACCCAACAACAGGGTTGGGAATTTCAGATTTTGCAAAAAAAAATTAATGTAAGTTTTCTGAAATTTTTTTTGAAAAATCACAAAAAACATCATATCTCGAAAACTACAAAGAATTGAGCAGTCATATTTGGAGGCAAGATTCGCAATCTTTGAGATTACTATGACAGGACCCAACAACAGGGTTGGGAATTTCAGATTTTGCGGGAAAAAAATTATATGTTTTCTGAAAGTTTTCTGAAAAAATCACAAAAACCGTCATATCTCGAAAACTACAAGGATTTGAACAGTCATATTTGGAGGCAAGATTTGTAACTCCTTAGAGTACTCTGACAGCGCCCAACTACAGAGTTGGGAACTTCGAGTTTTTAAAAAAAAATTTGTTTTTTGATATTTCAGATAATTTTTGAAAAAATCTCAAAAATCGTCTTATCTCGTTAGCTAAAATGAAAATGATTCGGGCATTCAAAATTGGAGACCAAATTCGCAACCCCTAATTCGATATTGGGCTGCTTAATTTAAACTCGGTAAAATAACCACAAATCAAATTGGAAAATCGAAAAAAACTCTTAACCATTGCAATATACGATATAGCTTAATCATGCAAAAATAATACGTTGAAAAAGCTTAAACATGGCGAGATAGTGAAGCCCGCATTTAAATAACCCCTAATTCGATATTGGGCTGCTTAATTTAAACTCGGTAAAATAACCACTAAAAACAAATTGGAAAATAGAAAAAAACTCTTAACCATTGCAATATACGATATAGCTTAAACATGCAAAAATAATACGTTGAAAAAGCTTAAACATGGCGAGATAGTGAAGCCCGCATTTAAATATATAATAGATTTTGAAAAAATCATAAAAAACGTCATATCTCAAAAACTAAAAGGATTTGAGAAGTGATCTTTGGCGGCAATATTCGCGACCCCTGAGAGTACCCTGACAGCACCCAATTACAGTGTGAGAAATTCAAAAATTGAGAAACTTATTTAAATTAATTTTCTAGACATTTTTGAAAAATCTCGAAAATTACTGTATCTCGTAAGCTAAAAGGATTTAGTTATTCATATATGGAGGCCAAAATCGCAATACCTGGAGAAAACCCTGACATCGTCCCAATACAGGGTTACTATTTTCAAACTTGGTGGAATAAACACTGAATTCAAAGGAGAAAATCCAAAAAATCTTAACCATTGTAATACACGATATGGCTTAAACGTGAAAAAACTCTTTTGTTGAACATGCAAAATATTACGTTGAACAAGCTTAACCATAGCAAGATAGTGAAGAAATAGATTTAAAAGTGAATATCAGACTTTTTTAGAACAAAATAATCTCTGAAATAATTTAAGATTACACTTTAACTCCGACATCGCTATCAGTCCCACTACATTCAAATCAAACTAATTTTTTTTACAGACACCGCCACGAAAAAAAGCCGCACTCCCTTAACAAAACAGGGGAGTGCTGCAAAACAACAGCAAAGCATGTCTTCAAAGACAGCAAACTTTGAAGACGAAAACTGCTGAGATTGCGGAATCCCAAACCAGTTATCTGACTGCATCAGGCATATAACTAAAACATTACCAAAGAAAGTAGGAAATTGTCAATGAAATCAAGGAAACCGACAAAAAAAAACGATTAACCTTTTAACAGATTTTTCAACTTACTCTATCAAACTCAAAACAAAAATTCCTACATCACACTTTCCTAAAACTAACCGAACTAGAGAAAACTGGATTAATAGGTTTTGTTTGCGTTTTTGTTTCCACTTTCGAAGAAAATATTTATGCTCGGTTGATTTTTTCACCATGAATCGATTCGATTGACTTTATTTACCATATCTCTTCAACCATTTGTATCGGGGTTTGTAATACCATAACATAATCAGAAAAGTATTGATGCCTTGAGCTCAAACTTGAAACATATTTTACCTCCGATAATTTTTCGTCAAATTATGTGGGGTTGAGAAATGGCCATTTGCAATACTTAACGAGCAATATATTTCTTGCTATAAATGCTTGTGCCGCTAAATAAACTAATTCAAATGGAATCGATGCATTTTTAAAAAAAAAACTAGGTTTTTCAACACAGAAGCGAAGCTGTGCTTCACAAAAACTGGCGAAAATACAGCAAAAGCAGCGCTATGAAGTTGAATGAGAAAAAGAATAAAAAACCTCATAAGGAAAAATTCAGCTACGCATCGGATTCAATCCAGTGACCTAGAGATTACGAGCAACAACCACTCAGCCACGGACGCTTAACAATTCCAGAACACTGACCACAAATAAAGCAGAGAACAAATATGAAAATTCCAAAGCTACAGATCGTGATTATAGCAAAAGAGCCAACACCAAATTAATTTTATTTGCGAGTTAGGTTTTTAAAAAAGGTTCGTACTAGTACAAAATTTTCGCACGCTCACCAGTGCAAATAATTTTTTTTCTCGACTTTACACGTCAGTTTGAACAATCAGGGCTTCGTAGTACTCTTGAATTAAAATATCAATCAAAGACTTGCGGTGCTTCTACTTTTGGACACCTCATGAAAATCCGCATATATTGGAAACAAGATCTGCATCCTTTGAGTGTACTGACAGCACCCAATTACAGGGTTGCTAATTTCAAATTTAGTGAAATTTTTTGAACATTTTTATAATGATCTAACAAACGTCACATTTCGGAAAATAAGAGCATTGAAGTTGTCGCATTTGGACGCAAAAATTGCAATTTAGAACTGCCGAGAGTACCCTCACAGAACCCAACAACAAGGTTGGGAATTTCAAATCTTTTTATTTTTTTAAATACAAATTCTCTGAAAAATTATAAAAGAAATCATAAAACAAGTCATATCTCGAAAGCTACAAGGATTTGAGCAGTCTTATTTGAGGGCAAGAATTGCAATCCTTGAGAGTACTCTGACAGCACCCTACTACAGGGTTGTTAATTTCCATATTTTGTTAATTACTTTTTAATTTGAGTTTTCTAAAACTTTCTGAAAAATCACGAAATTCCTCATATCTCGTAAGCTTTCAGGATTTGGGCATATACAATTGACAGCCCTGAAAAAATCTCACTATTAGGTTGCTGATTGGTGAAATAAACACTGAATTGAAAAGGGAAAATCGAAAAAAAAACATTGCAAATTACGATATAGTTTAAGCGCGCAAAAATTCTTTCGTTAAAAATACAAAAATATGCGTTAAAAAGCTTAAATACAGCGAGATAGTGAAACCCGCATTTAAAAATATAATAGATTTTTCGCACCAGTTTCACTTTCAAAAATAAAGAGTGCAATTCGACTTTCAGCAAAAGAGAAAGAATTCAATTGAAGCCGAAAAAAAACTATAGAAAAAAAACCTGAAAAACCCCTAAAGAAAATTCGTTAAGATCCTAGCAAGTTTCGAACTATGTCTGAAAACTGAAACTTTATGTCTCAGCCATATGTGAACGGTTAAAAATGGTCTGACTGGGTGCGATTGAATATACAACGAAATTTAAAATAATTGTGTCAAAAAATGACAAAAAGTTCTACTTTCAAAAAGGTAAAAAATGCAATTCTAAAATAGTAACAATTGCTGAACTTTAAAGAAAAGCTCATGTTGTGGAAATTAAGTAAAAAAAAAGTAAACATAGGACAAAACAAAATATTTTTATTAGACAGAAAAATTGAATTACGCACAGAAACAGCCCCTTCGGCCTCCCAAGCAAAAGCCTTTTCTTTAGGCTAACTTCGCGGAATCTTTCAATGAATTCATTATAATCCAAGCTACGAAACGATTCATTGGTTCTGTTAGACGCGATTTTACTCTGAAAAAATTTTATTGTGACGTTCCAGTTTGACGTCATTCAATTCATATTAAGAATTCTGATGAAATTGATTATATAGTGATCTTGCAATTGGCTTGAAATTGTGAAAAGATTGAATGAAAGACCAGACAAATATTCATTCGATAACTTATTGCGATCGACGAGATGGAAACCAGACAAATTGGCCAACCCTAACAAAGAAAGATAGGCCGAACCGCTCAAAGCCTAGCAATAAAAATAGGTTCTGATAGCCAGATGCTCTAGTTGTGCCATATCAGCTCGTAATCAACCATAGAGAAAGACTATATTAGACGCTGACAAGTGTATATTACACGTATTTCATTTTTGATTACCCTTGCTAACCAGGAGCATATATATATTTTTTCAAAATCACACTTCGTATCCCTTATCACCCAATCAGAATTCAGTTTCACGCATTTGTCTGCATACGGACGAGTATGAAAAAGAGTTTGTCTACTTACTAGCAGCACACCGCTTGCTAGACGGTACCTAAAATTTCTTGTCGTCGCAAAAACGCTTAAATGGTAAGTGGCATGGCAAACAATCAAACCGTTTTACTTTTAGAAATTTCTGGTCGCAGTTATCGAGACCGACTCGACCTGATGATGTTACCGAATTTCTATGTCGATGGAAAAGAACGAAAGATTTCAACTTTACTTCAAAGAGGTAAAAAATAATAACGAGAATACCTATAAGCCTACAACTTTAGTACAATTAGCAATTCTTGCATTATCTAGATCCATAACAAAAAGCAATGTCAAAAAAATGTTCTTTTGAAAATCCAAATTTTAACGACAGAACAGAGAACAAAATGATCAACGGCAAGTAACAAAGCTATCTAAATGAACAAAATAAGCTAGTTTTGTCATGTTAATATTTCGACCACATTTTTTATATTCGCGGATAGCTTTGATAATCTATAAAATTATCTTTTCCTGCTTTTTGATCCTGTCGGTTCCAATGGAGCCGGAAATGAATTCTGGAATCCACAATTACACTCTGGCGTGAAATATTCTGAAGCTAGAGCATCAGCTGCACTGCAACGCTTGTCGATGTCATATTCCAACATAGAAGTTAGCAACAAAAATGCATGCGAACACAAAATGTTCATCGCACGCTTCAACTTCTTTCCGGCAGCCGAGGTAAACTGTTCACGTGTGACAGAACATTTTTTCGGCCACAATCTTGCTTCTGGAAGACCCAAATATGAAATAACTTTAGTCAGAACTTCAACTTCAGAGTTACCCTGAATTAGTGGAACCCTCTTGAACAACTGGCACATGACCATTCCTAGACTCCAGATGTCAGCTGAAAAATTGTAGTCACAGCCTAAGATGATCTCAAGTGGCCGGTACCAGAGGGTAACTGTCACTGTAGTGAGATACGTTCCAATGTCACCAGGTTTAGACAGTCCAAAATCTGCTATTTTGACAACGCCTTCATGAGACAAAAGAAGGTTCTCAGGCTTGATGTCTCTGAAATTTAAACTAATTAGTCTCAATCTATACTAACGACTGAGTTCATGTTACTCGTCAGCCATACTGCTAATTCTACAAATGATTTCCAGCTTTTTCTTTAGTTTCTTCATTTGTATCGAAAAGCATTAGATTGTGATAAGGACATTTATAATTGAGATAAGGACAATTATATTTCGGATTGTTACCTGTGCAAAACTCCACTTACGTGAAGGAAGTCAATGCCCATCAATGTCTGGTGTAAAACATGCTTGCACATCTCTGAAGATATAATTGGCTCGTATTCTATATAGTGTAACAAACTACGAGGAAGGTATTCGAATACCAGAACGACCGAAAGACTTTTCGGGCATTCAATGTCATCGGGCGTCATAACAACGTCAAAAAGCTTGACAACATTTGGATGCGCTGGTTTGTTAAGTTTCTTAAGCATTGAAATTTCTCTTAATATGTACTGGGGCAGTCCTGTTGAGAGATTTTTCTCGCTGACATCAATTCGTTTCAGCGCAACTATTTCATTGGGACGCTTTCTGTGGACTGCTTTGAATACTTTTGCATATGCTCCACTACCAATTGGTTCTACAATAGAGTACGGTGGAATCGCATCAGAGGCCATGATTGTTTTCATTCACGATAACCAAGATATTGCACTACTAACCAATCATCTGAAAAATTGTAACCTACTGCTTTTAATGTATTTTTTTCTTGGAACTTTCCTCTAGTTCGTTCTCCACAACCAACGGTTAAATTTTTCGGCACGGCGTTCTTAGATATTTATATTTTTCTTATTGTAAATTTTAACACAGGCATAGCGGAGCTTCGCATCTTTGGCGATACAACACAAAAGTCGAAAAAAAATGAAAAATGTTGCAAAACACTAAATTTACTAAAATTTAAAATTGTCTCGATAGAAGATAACTTTAGGCGAAGAAGCCAGACATTTGAATGTAACATTAGCAACTCAACAAAAAATAGTATATTACAAAAGGGGCCCTTCCGTTTAGGTACGGTCGTGCACAAGCTGGATAGGGCCCATACCAGCATTATATAAAAACATCAATAAACAATATTGCAGGAATTAAGTCAAGTCAGCATTTATTGCATTGTCATTAGAGGTATTTACTTCAACCGTCCCTCCTCTACAACAGCACTTATTGAATTGTCTATGAATTGCGTCTCAACAAAACTTACCAAGCGGAAACAAAGCCGACAATCTTTGAGCATACACAAATTGAGCGGGAAAAAAAAGATTTTGTGATTTTTTTTCAGTCCCTTCTGAAATTGCAATGAAGAACACTTCCATTTGCAACTAAAACGAAGGTTGCTTACAGCGCAAGAATAATACGATATATGGCAAGCCTTATTCCTCCCTTTACATTTCCTTCATCGAGCCTACTACTTATTAACGTTTTTCTTTGCTCGAGGTCACTCAGAGGCGGGCTTTTAGCCTAATTGTTGTGATAAACTTATTAAATAGATTTGTTATGTTTGATGTTTGTGCCTGTTTGTGGAGCGCCCTCTGAGGGATTTTAGAGACATGTCTGTCAAGTGGCTTTCTGTGGGGAGGTGGGAAACTGGAACTGGCTTGAGGAGTCTGGTGGTGCGCCGCTGGACTTACTGAGCTCGGGTGAGATTGTTCCTTAATTTTTATTTTTATAATTCGATTTTAAATTTTAAATTAATTTAATTGTCTTTTGATTTTTTTTATGCTGATTTGTAAAATTCCCACTAACCGCTTATCATGGGTTAGTTCAATCCCCTAAAGTCCATGTGACATTCGACCAGAATGTGAAAAATGCAATCTCTGCGGAATTCGAAATTTTAGCAGCGAGCCTTCCGAATTAGTGATTTTAAAGGATTAACGACGTTATTTGAACGATGGGACAAAACGTGAAGGTTGAAGGATTCGGGAATTGCTAATTTTTAAATTTTCGAAGTGATTACGTAACATTTCTGAGAAACGTCAGAAACGGCCATTTTGGCAAAAAGGTCGAAGAAAAACACAACATTAGTTGCGCGGACGATAACTACGAGAATCGTGATAAAAAACAACAGCATATTGCAGGAATAGCAGAGCACTCCGAGTTGCAACTATTGTGTCGCTACAATAGTTGCAAGGCCGTTGCAGATAACGGCGAAGGGTGGAGGACAGCCTTCCGGATTAAGAAGAAATCAAGATTAACGAGCTTGATTCAGTGGATTCAAGAATCCGGAAGGGTGTCGGAACTGAGACTTTTATTCTTTTATTCAGACTTTTAGCTCCTGAAATATCAAATAATATCGGTGTTTAATTAAGATCTAGGACATTACAGCAGCTGTTATAGTTAGTTTACCCAGTCCCTTCACATATAACAGTCTCTGGGGGACCAAGCCTCCGCTCCCGTGATTTTCTTGAGATAACACTCTTATCTCCTATATTTCGTGTCCCGGGAGGGTTCCGTGGTATTTCTCTTCCCCCCACTGAAGCCTCCGTCTCCACAAATATCTGTCACTAAGGTCCTTATCGTGTGTTATTGCCACGATAAGAGGCTCCGTGTTTTTCTGTCTCTGATACAACCGTTCTTCACAATTTCTATCGTTGTTCTGATTTTCGTCTTTTTTATTCAAAATGGCCGTCTTTTTTCTATTTCTCAGAAATGTTCTTCTTCCGATCGAAATTTTAAAAATAAAAATTCTAGAACATTCTGACCCTCCGTCGCAACACTTTTCTGTTCATAAGGCCTTTAGTCACTTTTATTTCTGTCGCGGGAAGGTTATGCTGTGTCATCTGGCAGAATGGCACATACTCCCCGGACAAGTCTCCATCAATGTCCCTATTGATCGCACAACACCGGGTTATCGTCAAGTAGGTATCCAGTTTTCTGTAACCAATCTTACAAATCGCATAAGAAAATGAAATTTATCTACTCCACTTCAACTCACTACGTGTTCACAAATGGCATCGTACTACATCTCACTGCCTTTCAACATTTTCACAAAATTTGCACCATGAGGAGTGTCCTAGATAAAATTTCTTTTCTGACTACTTACGTCGTCTTGTTATACAACTTCTTTTCGCTCTTTGTGATTAAAAAGTGGGACGTGGCACGGCCACGCACCCGTTAAAATTAACTTAACTTCACTCACCAAGTATAATTAGTCATTTATGCGGTCCTTTCAATATTAAAACTAAGAAACTCTGTGGCTAGGAAAGTTATTGAGTTACCCACCCTTCTCGAGCGAGTTTACTCAATTTTACCATGTCGCCACACAGTGAATTTGTGTCTTACACAGGTTAAAAACTTCAGTCGTGAATAAATAGGTAAATATACTCACCTATGTTCCTTATATACATACATAGATAGTAGTAACTAAAATCAACAAAATCAACAATTTTAAGAATTGCAACATTTTCAAAGTTTGGTCTGACCAAACTAAATCAAAACAAAAAGTTTCACAAGTTCAATAATCAAAACTTGGTTGATTTGTTCAAGTTTTTACACACAAAGACAATCAAGTTTTTCTCTCCTTCTCCTCTCTCCTTTGGTCATCTTCACTCCATCACTTCTCCATCCTGATGTTCAGCGTCACTGTCTTCCAGAACTTTCTCTAACATGTCCAGAGAGTTGCGGGCCGTGCCCCAACCCTCCTGTTCCAACAGCCTCGGTTTGCAACAAGGTAGCAAGTCCACATTCACCTTCTGCTCCCGGTTCCTGCAAAAGCTGTTGTGAAGACATAGGCTCACGTTTCGTTCTAGGTCAGCTCTTAAGACCTCTTTCTTCTCATCTTCAGTAACACAAGGCGTTCCAGCTACCCGCTTCACCGCTGTGGTGACCGCGTTTCTGTGCGTCAAGAATGCTCGTTTATAGGCTCCTGGTCCTATATCTAGCTGGAAAGATTGATAGGCTTCCGTATTCCTTGACATGTGACGCTTCGCGCGTTCATACATCCAAGATGTCATCACTGCACGGAACCAAGGCATCAATCTTTGCCTTGACCATATTCTTTCAATGGCTTTAGGTATTCTCAGAACCTTGCAGGTGGTTCTGAAAAGATCCAACTCACGACTCATTTTAACGTTGCTCAACTGTTCAGGAGTCGGCACGGCCGTCTCCTGCTCACTTGTGTCCGCGTTAGCCTCTAACCATCTCACTGCTAGCATGGCGCTAACCACCACGATTGACACTTGTTGATTCTGATCGGGCAACCCCGTGGAGTACAACTCCTCCACGTCCCAGACTAGGATCAGATTCCCGCGTTTAGGGTACCACAACGTCTGAGCCAAGCAGTGGCAAGGATACTCCCCATGGGTTCTCACTATGTTCCTTCGGGTCCGATACCCTGAGGCTCCCAGCAACGGTTCCACTTCCATCAGAATTCTATGTAGGTCGTCTTTATCTTCTATAGTGGGGAATTCAGTAGGTAACGCTCCACTCGCTTTCTGTTTCTCGAACTCACTCACATTTCCTTCGTTCAGTCTCATGAACTCTTCACCCACAACGTCTTGCAACTCGCCTTCGGATCTCTTCGGGACTGCCCGAAAGATCTTTGCCAACAAGTCATATGACCTCTCTGACATTCTGGCCAACCTCACGCACTTTGGCACAGAGAAAAGTTGGTCAACCAACACTTGTTGCGTCCTCGCATCCATCACCACCATGTGCGTAGGATACTTGCTATTACAATACGGCGCTGAGCTTGAACCCACCATATATTTTGAACCAGCAGGTCTGTGATAGGCTTCACTATCCTTCAGATTCATTTCATTCTCTAGGGCTTCTCGCCAGCCTCCAATCTTTTGTTCTGTCTGTAATGCTCCAGGGAATATTTCCACGCTGAGGGACGTCACTAGCTCATGGGCACGCTCCAAGCGCTCGAGCGATTCTATCGAACTCGTCATGCTGCAAAATCCCAAGGCTGTGATCAGGTTTACGTCCGTCACCCCATGGCAGTCTGCGACCAACTCCATGGCACTCTTATCTGACACGCTCAATCTTCCGTACAATCGTGCCAGTTGTCGATGCTGCTCGCTTAGCGTAATCAGGCAGTGTCCCAGGTTACAAACATGTCCTTCCATCCCACTGTGTTGAGCCAAGCATGTGCCTTGCTTCAACCAATTACTCGATGTACCTTCCTCGGACAGCTCCGTGGACGGGTTGCTCTTCTTCTTCGTCAATCTCATGGCCAGCAGGTGTTGTATCATGGCCAGATCATGTAGACTCGCATCATCATCCCGGTCTAACATGATATCCGCGGTCATGTCCCAGATTAAGCCTGCGTTAGGATGGGGACACCAGGAAGGTTTCATGAGTTCCCACATCACTACTAGACTGGTTTTCAAGGGACCGTCCCAAGAACCACAATCAAAACTCACTTGCCCTTTTAGCTCGGGAATCGAGGGCTCGACTACTCGTTCTTCCAAAATAATTCCAAGCTTGGGTTGTTCCACCATCAACATTCCAATTTCCTTAATCCGTTCAACCCAGAAGTTGAGCACTGTGACTTGCTCGTAGTCGAAGTATGCTTCCCTGGCTTCTTCGTTCACGAAGGGATTATACGCCATCCCTGGTATACCAGACACGTATTGGAACGACTTCAGTTTCCCTAGTGTTGCAAACTCCTTTTGTCCTCTGGCCGCTTCAATCAAGTCTCTGCTCACTCTCAATTCTTTGTTGGAGTATC